CCGCGTAGCGACCCAACGCACGTCCCGACGCGATGGACCTCGAGCCAGATTCGACGTCCATCACCGTTGCGAGGGAGGTGACGGCAGCAAGCGACGAGGACCTGGCATCGCGAAGAGTGCGAAAACCTTCCGCGAAATCACGACTGAACTAGACGCACCAACAGATCACCGAAGATGCGATCGAGCGAGCGACCGAGACTGCTGGCAATGGCCGGCGGGCGACCACTACTCGAGCCGCAATCCTGGCCAAGGAACGCGTGAAGCCCGTTGAGAACGACGAAAAAAGTCTGCTCCCGACGATGGGCAAGCAGATCAAAGAGCTACACGCAGCGAAGGTGGAGATCATGTACATAGATAATCATCTGAGCCCTGATAGCTTAGCTGGGGCGTAATGAACTATGTATGTATTTATGCGGCGAGTTTCACCTAAGCGGGGTATCCCAGGTTCTGTCACAACGCTACATATCACAGTTTCGTGATAGTAGATTTGCGGAAGCATTATTTCATGATTTGGCTAACATTGCTCTTTGATCCACCAGCATGCATTCATGATAGGCATCAACTTTGGACAAGTGCCTACTAAGGCTTGCATCAAGATACATCAATGCAATATGGAATCTCTGCTGCAAACAAATTGATCACGGCCTCACGAATATAAATCTGGATCTCCTACTATTGAAGAATCAGCAATGCAACCACGATCCATGTCAGTGCTTGTCTGAATGTGAGAAATCTGTCGAAGTTCCCTGCTCAAACTCCTGCAAGCGGTAGCCAACATTGTCGAACATAATACATAGAACACTCTTTCTACGTCATGCATCCTCCTCCTCCTCCTCCCCATCTCTCCGTCATGGACATCTTCTTCCCCGGTTTTACCGGCCTCACTGTGACACTCCAACAGCTTCTCAACGGAACCATGGATGGCTACGCCGGTTTGTTGTGTATCTGCGGGGTATTGATGGTTTGCGGCAAGTTCCTGTGTAGAACCGTGGGAGAATTCGTCGATACCTACCTCAGTTAGTAACCCTTCACAAACCCGTAACACATATTTAACATCCTTTAGCTTCAAGGGCCGATGTCTACGATCCCGACGAGGCATACGACATGTTGGATGCGTGGGTTTCCGGCCAAGCCTTTTCCCAAGATGCCAGCTCCTCGCTTGTTACTGTAGAAAGCAGACGAGGAAGAAGCATGGCCCAGCTCCACCCCGATATCACGGCTAAAAAGAACCTTCGGTTTACACCTTGGGGAGAACCGCTGTACTTCTGGTATCGGGGGCACCGTCTCACTTTACGATGCACGCAAGACAGAGCATCATTATTTCCACGCAACACAATGACAGTTTCGTGCGTTGGGCGCTCTTCACAGGTTCTGAGGGACCTTATGGAAGAATGTCGCGTCGAATATCTGAAGTATTCTGAAAACAAAACTTCGATCTTCGAGAACTATAATAACGGCTGGAAACGAACTACTACCCGAGACCTCAGACCGATCGATACCGTTATCATGAACGAACAGCTCAAACAGACGCTCCTCAAGGATGTCCACTCGTTTCTCGACCCCAAAGCTCGGTCCTGGTACGCGAGCCGCGGGCTGCCATACCGAAGAGGCTACCTGCTGTTCGGCCGTCCTGGAACCGGAAAATCCAGTCTTAGCATGTCCGTCGCCGGTTGTTTCGGACTGGACATCTATGTTCTCAGCCTTGCTGCTATGAGTGATGGACAACTCGGTGCCTTGTTCAGGGAGCTTCCTCAACGCTGTGTTGTCCTGCTTGAGGATGTTGATGCCGTCGGTACAACCCAATCACGTGTATCCGACGCCGATGATTTTGACTCCCGATCGGAAGATTCACGAAGGTCATCGAAGTCGCACGGGGCTGTTTCGCTGTCTGGGCTCCTTAATGTTCTCGACGGCGTCGCATCACAAGAGGGGCGCGTCCTCATCATGACGACAAACCACATAGAGCATCTTGATGAAGCTTTGATCCGATCTGGCCGCGTTGACAAGAAGATCGAGTTTCAGCTTGCAGATGCTGACGTGACCAGAAAGATATTCAACACTGTGTTTCAACAATCGGAAGAGGAGCTGTCTGACTTGGACAACCGAGAAGATAGCAATGAGGAAGTCCGGAGACTGGCAGGTCAATTTGCAGCCCTTGTGCCGGAGCTGGAATTCAGTCCTGCCGACATTTTTTCCTTCCTCCTAGCAAACAGAGACTCGCCCTCAG